TTTCACCATACTATTTAAATCAATTTTTATGTTGGTAATATACTTTATTAATTTGAACAGAGAGTGACTGTTGTTATAGTACTCTGTCAACAATAAGTCAACGCATTATCAGCAACATTTATGCAGATACTGCTATATGTCTATGAGTTTTCCTTATACTGACATTATTTTAAAAGATTTATTGATATAATTCACATACCATATGATTCAAAGTGTACATTTCAATGTTTTTTAGTATATTCACAAATGTGTGCAACCATCACAATTTTACATTTTCATCACTTTACAAAGAAATCTATGTACTTTAGCAATTACTCTCATATTCCCCTTTTCCCCCAACCCTAGATAACCAGTAAGCTACTTCTTGGCCCTCTAGATTTGCCTATTCTAGATATTTCAAATAAAGGGAATCATATAACATGTGGTCTTCTGGCGTCTTTCACTAAGCGTAATGTTTTCAAAGTTCATCCATGTTGTAGTATGTATGAATACTTCATTCCTTTTTGTGGCTGAATAATATTTCTTTGCATATATACACCACCATTTGTTTATCCATTTATCAACTAATAAACATTTAGGTTCTTTCTACCTGTTGGCTCTTATTAATAATGCTGCTAGAAACAATATCATCTTAACATTTACTATCTGCTTGCTCAGCCTCAAGCAGTCACAGGTAAGAGTTTAGGCTTTTTCATTTTTCCTAAGCATGGACACAGCTCCATGAATGCATATGACCTCCAGATTTCCAGGAACATGTAGGAGCTCTTCAAAACTTGTGAGTATCTCATTCTCCAGACTTTTCCTCTAAGCCATTTTGTTGATACATTGTCTGGCCTAAACTGGAATCTGTCACCTCAGACAGCTATGAAGTTAAAACACTGGCCTGTAATTATTTTTGACACCCCAGCCACCCATTCTTTGCCAGGAGGAAGGCTGTTCACACTGAATGCGATCAGAGTTATCTTTTTAACTGGGGTCTTCCAGGGAACCATCAGAGGTTTAATGATGATAATTATTTGGAAATGAGGCTTTGAAAGAGCTCCAGGTCCATTCTGCTCCTTTTGGAGCAGGCTGCATGGGAAACATGGACTATTATTTTTCTCAGGCTACTGCTGAGCAAGAGTGGAAAATGGGACTAAGGCAAATTAAAATGGCACAAAATTTTCTGTTCTTACTGAGATTTGGCTATTTTTCTTGAATATACATTCCCTAGATGGTTGTAAGCTTTTGGTTATTTTCCAGAGTTTTGTAGAGAAATTATAAGTGTCCCTCAATGTACACAGAAGGGTCTCAATAAAATGCTTTATAGTTTTATAGTTTTCAGGTAAATACTTTTATTAGACCTTCAATCTTTTCAAAGATGAGGAAGTCATGGCTTAGAAAACTTGTGACTTCCTTGAGCCATCAATTTATAGCCCTAGGGATTTATATTAATCATTAGAAGATTAAGTTCTATAACCAGTGGTATGAAAATATTGATTCCTGACCATTTTTGCCAGTTTTCATTGACTTTATGGAAGGGTAAATTTTCAAAGTCCTTACTATAATACTGATATATGCTACATCATGGATAAACTTTGAAAATATTATGGTAAGTGAAAGTATAGCCAGGCCCTTGAGATTTTAATGGCATTTTTTTAATGACTGAAATAATGTAAAATTTGAATAGGCCCTTGCTTGCACATGATAACCCCTTGCTTCCTGCCTAGTATCACTTGTTCTCACAGTAATTACTACCTGCTGATATACCATTTGTCAAGCAGGAGAAGATAATAACTCCTTATTTTACAGAAGGAATGAATGCCCTTGAAAAAGCTGTGACTAGCTCCTGATGCCCATAAGTCTGGTTACTCAAGGAGTTACCTGAGACTAAAAGCGACACAGACTTCCCCCTTCAGTTCTCTAAAATACCTCCCCTGACCCCCTCTTATTCTCTAGCTACATAAAAGCTCCTTGCTTCGTTTTTTTAAAGAGATAGATCTGAGAGATTTTGCTTTTAATTCTTTTCACTTTAGCCAAATCAAATAAACTTTTCTTTATCTCCAAGCCCTGGTGTCACAGTGTCTGGCTTTAGCTGTGCATCAGGTACACAAGCCTGAATTTGAGGCTCTACAACAAGACGAAGCCAGACATAAGAAGCCATATATTGTATGATTCCATCCACATAAAATGTACAGAATAGGCAAATTGATAGAAGTAGAACGTGGATAATAGGTTGCCTGTGACTAGGAGAAATGGGGGAATAGAAGGATGATAGCTAAAGCATACAGGGCTTCTTTTTGAGGTGATAAAAATGTTTTAAAATTGATTTTGGTGATAGTTGCACAACTTTGTGAATAAAGTAACAACTACTAAATTAAACACCTTAAATGAGAAAATTGTACAGTATGTGAATTATATATCAATAAGGATGTTATAAAAAATAGCAATAGTGAGAGATTTCAATACTACACTCCATAATTAATAGAACCAAGGATATGAAAGTGTTGACCATCACTATCAACCAACTAGCTCTAATAGATAATTTGAACACTCAGCCAAACAACAGGAGCATCCTTCTCAAATGCACATGCAAACTTCTCCAGGATCTACCATATCTTAGGCCACAAAATCAATCTTAAGACATTTAAAAAGACTAGGATCATACAAAGTATGTTTTCTCATCACAATGGAATAAAACCAGAAATCAATAACAGAAGAAAATTTAGAAAATTCACAATTACGTGGAAATTAAACAATACTCTCTTAAGCAAAGGATGAAAAGAGAAATCACAGGAAAATTACAGAATACTTTGAGATATGTAAAAATCAAAATGGAACATATCAAAACATACAAACATTAATACAGTCCTTAGAGGGAAATTTACAATTGTAAACACTAATATTAAAAATAAGAAAGCTCGGACTTGGGGGGGGGGCAAGGGCAACATACGTAACCTAAACATCTGTACCCCCATAATATGCTGAAATAAAAAAAAAATTCAAAAAAAAAAATAAGATTGTAAATCAATAATGTAAACTCCCACCTTAAGAAAATAGAAACAGAAAAGCAAACTGAACCAAAAGAAAGTATAAGTAGGAAATAACAAAGATTAAAAGAGAAATGTATGAAATAGGAAATTAAAAAAATAGAAATAATTAACAAATCTAAAAGCTGGTTCTTTAAAAATGTCAACAAAATGGACAAATCTTTTAGCTAGACTAAACAAGTAAAGAAGAGTGAAGACAGAAATTATTAAAATAAGGGATAAAGCATGGGGCGTTTCTACATACCTTCCTATGATGAGAAGATTGGGAGTGAATACTATAAAACATTGTATGCCAACAAATTATATGACCTAGGTGAAAACAGACCCATTCCTAGAAAGACAGAACTACTGTAACTGACTCAGGAAGAAAGTATAATGTAAAAGGCAGGTCATAGGTATTGGTGAGGATGTGGAAAAACCAGAACTCTCATATGTTGCTGGTTGCAGTGTAAAATGGTACAACTTGCTACAGAAAAGAGCTTGGCAGTCCCTCCAAAGATTAAAGATAAAATTGCCATATGACTCAGCAATTACACTCCTAGGTATGTACCCAAGAGAAATGAAAACACATCTACTGAAAAACTTCTACATGAATGTTTATAGCAGCATTAGAAAATTAGAGAGAGAAAGAAAAAGAAAAGAAAAGAAAATTTCAGCCAGGAAAATGAACATGGGTTCATCAAATTATTTTGCAAAATCTAGTTTCCATACATCGGTTGTGGCATCAGTGACTATGTCCAAACTCTAATATCTACAGGGCTCAGTTGCATCTGGTGTCCTACTCCCAAATTTCCACGGGCCAAGCCTGTAAAATCCTCAAATTTCCTGTGTAAATTTGGAATGTAGGTAAGGTTTGGGTATAAGGCTACTCTGAGAATAAAGCCAGAACACAATTCTTATTAGTATAACTGGTACAACACGAATACTTTACAATTAATATATTTCTAACTATTGTTTGACTCAAATAACTACATATTAGAATTAGAGAATTTAAGTGTAATTTAAAAATATATGTGACAGTGATTTAAAAATTCTAAAAAGTTTAGAAAGTTTAAAAATTTTCTAATATGATGAAATAAATTTTTCTGTGTAAACAAATTGCCAACAGATCATTCTTTAATCAAGCAAATATCTTAAAGAATGGAGACTTATGGGAAAAAAATATTTTCTTCTTCATTTGCTTTAAGATTAATTTATGATAACTAGGAGTAAGGAAGGTAAAATGTGTCTGAAAATTGTTGCAAAAAGCTCAATTCTCCTGAGTATAAAAGAACTATGGATAGGTTATTGGAATACATTAAGATATATATTTATATTTAAATCTTCACGTTATACTAGTATTTGCAAAGAATAACTGAGAAAGATAATAATTTAATAATGTAATTTATTATCATAAATACAAAGTTTTAGACATAGGCAAATGGGTAAACTAAATGCATTTATGAGGCCTGTATGTAAAAGCCAAGCTATAATACAATACAGAACATACAAAAATATTCAAAAAGAAGAGAAAAACTAAGTGATATAGAAATGCTAGTAAAGTATCTTTTTTGATTTGGAGTTCCCTCCCTCATATATGTTGTCCCTTAATATGGACCTTACTAAAAGAAGTCTAGTAATTAAACTAATCACATTATTTAACAGTATCTGGAGGTTTTATTTTACTCATAGACCTAACACAAATATGGAGTAAACACATGTAAAACAAAATATTCACTTTTTACAATATAGTATATTATAATTCAATCTTAAATTCTCTTTACCTTTATTGTCTGTCTGCTTATCTGAAATCGTTGATCAGACACTTGCTGTTGATGGAGGAGCTTTTCATTAACTTCTTTATATTCTTTAACAGACAATTCTGCTGTTTTTTTTGCATTCAGAAGTACACTATTTTGTTGTTGCAAGGATATAATCCGTTCTCGTAACAAAATAATATTGCTACTTGATTTCTGGGCAGTTATACTTTTGCAGTTTTCTCTGTTGACTATATAAAAATAATGTTCATAATATTTTAAAAATCAGATTAAATTATAAAAGACATAATGTTAATTTCATGTGCATTCTTACCTCTGGTAGGAACTGCTGTATGTAAACTCTTTTGCATGTTGCCATTCTTCTTTTGAAAAGTTGGTTTTTTGGTATTTTTATAATGAAAATGATCCTAAATTTAAAGGTTCATAAAAATTGGGTTATTATTCAATAACATCAAGTGAATCAACATTTAAGTGACGGTCACATACCGTGCACTGTAAAAAATCCAAAACAAAACCACTAATTAAATTACCAGTATTAGTCACAAGACTTGGTATCAAATTAACTGGACATAAAAAGAACTGGTTTCTGTTTACAGTACTGACTAGAAATTCAGAAAAATTTGCATACTGTGAAACAGACACACTTAAAGTGTCTAACATGGCAAAACATCAAGGGAAATTCTTAGAGGCCAAAAAAAATGGAAATCTCAATAAAAAAAGAAGTGACCAACAAAGTGGCCAGCAAAATGTAGGACAATTGCCAATTCCTTGTGACCTTGAAATTCCATTTAAATAGCAACACAGAATGCTTAAGTCAGGAAATAAATCCTAGCTCACAAGCCAAGATGAGAAATTTGAGGTCACAAAGCTAGGACATTTTGTACATCAAAAGTTTGTTTCTTTTTCTTGCTGAGTAGTATTCTGTATTATGGATACACCACGGTTTGCTTAACTGTCCAATTAACAAAGAAAATTTCGGTTGTCCTCAGTTTTCAGGTATTACAAATAAAACTGCTATGACCATTCACGTACAGGTTTTTTTGGTAAACATAAATTTTCATTTCTGTGGGAGAAGTGTTCAAGGATATGATAGTTGTATGGTAAGTTTAGTTTTTTAAGAAATTGCTAAACTGTTTTCCAGAGCACTGTATTGTACCATATTATATCCCCCACAAGCAATGTATGCAAAATCCAGTTTCTCTTCATCCTTGCCAGCATTTGGTATTGTCACTATTTTTTTTAGCTGTTTTAATAGATGTATAACTCATCATGGTCTTAACCTAATTTCCCTAATGGTTAGTGATGTTGAACATCTTTATATATATTCTTTGTCATCCATATATCCTTTTTGGTGAAACATCTGCTCATGTCTTTTGCCTATTTTCTAATCGGATTGTTTGATTTTTTACTGTAGAGTTTTGAGAGCTCTTCATATATTCAAGATGTGAGACCTTTGTTAGATATGTGGTTTATAAATATTCCTCTCAGTTTGTAGCTTGTCTTTTTATCCTCTAACTGGGGTCTTTTGCAGAGGAAAAGTTCTTAATTCTGATCAAGTCAATTTATTGATGTTTTCTTTTATGAATCAAGCTTTTGGTATCATGTCTAAAAATTCTTCACCACGCTCTAGGTCCTGAATAATTTCTCTTATGTTATCTTCTAAAAGTTTTATAATTTAATTTTTATATGGATATGTGATCCATCTCAAGTTAATTTTTGCATAAGGTGCAAAGTTTAGGTATAGGTTGCTTTTTTTTTTTTTTTGCTTGGGAATATCCAATTGCTCTAGCACCATTTGTTGAAAAGACTATCCTTCCTTTATTGAACTGCTTTTGCATCTTTGTCAAAAATCAGTTGCTCATACTTGTGTGGATCAATCTGCAGATTCTCTATTCCCTTGTGTGAATAATAAATCTTTCCCCCTCTCTTGGTGGGTGTATAATGTCATCCCTCTTGACATCTGAATCAATTTTGAGTGATGAAGATTGATGCCACCATCTGTGAGGTAAACATAAAGTTATTTTTTGTTTCTAAAATTTCAATTTGGTTTTTATATCCTCTGTTTCTTTGATGAGACTTTCTATTTCTTTACTGAGATGCCCTATTTTTTCATTTGTTTTAAACCTGTCCATAATTGCTTGTCAACGCATTTCTATGGCAGCTACTTTAAAATGCTTGTCATATACAGATTATGCTCAACATACTATGGTGTTATATCGTGATAAGCCCATTGTTAAGTTGAAAACATTGTAAGTCAAAAATGAATTCAATACACCTAACCTACCAAACTTCATAGCTTAGCCTAGATTACCTTAAACGTGCTCAGAACACACTTACATTAGACTACAGTCCAGCAAAATCACCTACCACAAAGCTTATTTTATAATAAAGTGCTGAATATCTCATGTAATTTATTGAAAACTATGCTGAAAGTGAAAAACAGAATTGTTGTTTTGGTTCTCAAAGTAAGGTTTCTAGTGAAAGCATAATGTTTTCACTCCATTGCAAACTTGAAAAAAAAAATCTTAAGTCACCCATTTTAAGTTGGGAACAGTCTGTTACTCCAATATCTGACATCTTGCTTTTGGCTTTTGTTGACTGTCTTTTCTCATTCAAATTAAGGTTTCTTGGTTCTTGGTATGATGTGTGAGGTTCAATTGTAATCTGGACAGTTGGGGTATTATGTTTCGAGACTCTTTACTTCTTATTTGAACAAGTCTCCTCTGACACCACACTGATGGAAGGAGGAAGGGATGAGGGGTGCCTCCTTATAGCCAGGTGAGAATGGAACTCTAGGTTCCTACTAGGTCTTTACTGAAGGGGATGGAAGTGGGGTTGCAACTTTTTCTGTGGAGTAGGGCAGTTATTGTGCAAACTTTTCTGTCTTGGTATGCTGGCCTTTTCCTGACCCTTTGGCTAGAAAGAGCAGGGTTTTATTGGGGGCTCATATCATCTTATCTATTGGGGTTTCTAGGTGGCAGATTTATTTAGCATTCAGGCCAGGATACATGAAGCAAAATGAAAACCCAGAGAACTCACCACCATATTGTTCCTTGATTTCTGGGGTACCTAGCTGGTCAACTCAATATACACACAGAAAGCGGCTGAAATGAGAAAGACTAACATACTAAGTGTTGATGAAAAGCAGTAGAAATTTCCATAGTGGGTACAAAAAAGTGGTACAACACTTTGGAAAATAGCATTATCAACTAAAATCTTAAAAATACATAAGCTATCATATAGCAATTCCACTCCTAGGTTTTTATTACAGAAATGCCCACACTTGTGCAACAGAGAACATGTACAAGAATATTCATTGCAGGATTATTTGCAAGAAATCCAAACTGAAACAACCAAAATTTCAACAGTAGAAAGGATAAATTGTGGTATGTTCAGACAATGAAGTACTATCTATAACAATGAAAGTGAATGAACTCATAATATTCAACAAAAGAGGCCAGACACAAAAGATATACTATATAGATTCCACAAAGTTCAAAAACATAATGTTAAGAGGGAGGTAAAATTATAAAGAAAAGCAGGGAAGTCATTAAGTTAAAGTTAGTTAGGATACTGAATATATTTGGGGTTAGTGAGAAGTTCTAATATTTTCCAAACACATCTGCCACAATTTGGTAAACATTTATTTTCTGACTGTCAACAATATGACAGATCTAATCAAAGTAGTTTATAATGTACTCTCTTGTTATATGAATGTAATTATGAGTTACTTTTATTTATAAACTCATTAAGCTGCAAATAATGAAAATTCCCAACCAAATAATATACAGAAAAATAGGTAATTTCTATAAAATCTACTTATCAATTTATTCATCAATCAATCAATCAGAAGGCTCTTAGCATGTAATTGTTGGTCTGAACTTTATTCTGGTAGTAACTAAAATAGACCTTTTTCCTCCAAAGTCCTGGCAAGATCTCAAAAAATTAATTTTTTTGGATTATGTTTTAAAAGAATCCTATAGGTTAACTCAAAGACAACCTGATTTTTACAACAAAATAATTTTCCTCAATTTTTCAATGATTTATGCTGTATAGGTAAACTTCTGATGTCATGATATTAGTGGTAGGAATTATTGAATAAGTTGTATTGGAACATCAATTTTTCAAAATTTAAAATACATTGAGGAGTAAGGTAAAAATAAGTAATTCAAAGATATGCATAGACTTAAATGACTTTATTGCCACAAAAGCTAATATAAAAACAGAAGTTTCTTCACTTGGAACATTTCATATACCTGAAAACAATAATGAGCTTATTATCACCTTTATTATTTTCTTGCTGAAATATGAATACCTTCAGATTTATATTTGTGAGAATAATATTTATTTCCATTTTCATCTATGCAAAAGATTGTGACAAACTGGTATTAGGAAAATTTTAAAAAGTGAATATTTTCACTGCATATTTCAAAGAAAACTTAATTTGTAGGGGTTCAAATTAAATATCTGGCAATATTTATTGATTTAAATTATGAAGCATAAGATAAAATTAAGAACATTGCTTACAATTAGGCAAAATTATGTCATATACCTTTTGAGCCTTGCCATTTATATTGGAGTATATTTGTACTATTTCTTTTCCTTGTGTTTGGCTGTCTTCTGTTTGATCGCTTTCCTTCTGGTCTCTTCTATCTTCCATAGGACTTATTTTCTGGGATGTTTCTACAATAATTGTTCCCAAATTTTCAGAGGTCTGTGCTTCAGAGTCACTGCTTTTAGAAAAAAGAAGGCACATGAAACCCAAGAATAAGAGTTGTTATGTGTACTTTTTCTAAGTTCGACACCAAACAATATTATAGCATAAATTATAAATGACACTGTAAGTTTAATTTTGGCATTTACTCATTCTCCATGTGAAAAGGAAAAGTTAGTTTAAATATATTTTACAAAATTATAGAATCCCATCAAGAACATAGATTCTCTAATATCAAATTCCTACTAGCATCACTTCTATAGCATTTATACCAAGTGTTAGCTCAGGAAGCACACGGTTTAAGAGTTCCAGGGTTGGAATACATACTACTTTCCCAGCCATGCTATAAAGGTCTGATATTTCTTACAAAATTTTCCCTTCACCTGAGACAAAATTTGAATCTTTGAGGCTTTCACGCATTAAGTTCCATCCCTTATGGCCATTTATCTTTCAACAAAATATTTGTTAACAGCATCTATGGGCCAGGCATTTTTGTGGGCATAAAGAATAAGGTAGCAGTGAATAAAGTGAAAGAAAAAAAAATTCCTGCCCTCATGTAACCTTTATCCTAATAAGGCAGAGGTGGGAGGGAGGAAACAAGGAAATAAGGAAAATAAGTAAAATATAAGGTATGTTAATAGTGATGTGTTAAAGAAAGAAAATTAAGCAAGGAAGAGAGATAAGAAGTATTCAGGTTGAGTGGAACATATAAATGAGTCCCTTTTCCACATGGGTTATCTTTTAACTATTTGGAAATAGTCATATACTGTTTGAGACATCTCTAAGAAAACATCCCTAGCTGGTTTAAATGTTCCTACTATACATGTTTTTGGGATGCTTTACTTCCCTGGTCACTCCTGAAGATGTTCCTGCTTATCGTGATGGAGCATCATGTCCAGAATTCAATTTCAAACTAATCTATATCTTTTTAAAACATGATTACACTAAATATAGTACATCTGAATTCCATCAAAGCATGCTTATCAAATTTTTGTATAACATGACATTGAAAGGGATGGAAAATACTTTTCAAAATAGCATTAAGTTCCCCAAAGATCTCAACAGACTGGGAAGATAGTTATACAAAAGACTACAAGGTTAGTGTACTTGGCTATACTATAAAATGCCAATTGTTCAACTATACAATGAGAGAAATATGTGGCTTTACAATAGTATAAGTAGAAATATTTTAGGATGTTTCGTTACATATTACAAGAGTCTATAGTATGATTTACATGTCAGAAAAGCCTCACAATTTTAGTCTGCATCTACTAGAAGTTCTACTAAGTTCCTCTCATAGTGTACCCGGACTAAGACAATGTCAAATGACTGAAACTCTTCAAAACTAAGAGACTGTAGGGAAAAAACCAAATCAACAAATAACACTGAGGTTGAATATCAGTCAGAAAAAGAAAACAAAGAGTTTGATATGGTGAACTATAATAAGAGGAGGTAGAAATTAACTGTGTCAAATACTGCTGAGAGGTCAATTAAAGTCAGGACTGAGAACTGACTTTGGATTTGGCAATGTGGCGGGGACCTTGGAAAGAACTGTTGAGAGGGGCGATGAGGGGATGAAAGGAATTGGAAACAATGAATGTAGACAACTTTTTCAAATTTAGCTGCCAAGGGCAACAGAGATAAAGAACTAATAGGCTAAGAGTACTAACAGGTACATAGTGAATCCTCTGGTTTCCAGACATGGTCCTCTTAATCTTACGTAGTAATTAGGATAATTGCTCTTACTAATACAGTATCTCCCTTTGATGCCTGTTAGTTCAGTAACATGAGGAGTCCAAATGGCCAGGGTACAACCTCAGCTTCTGCCTCTATAGACCATAACTGTATTCCCTTGGAGAACTTTCCTACCTTGGGCATCAGGACCCACATATCCACTAAGCCCAAGGTCATAGCAGTGGGAAGCATAAACTACTCCAGTAGGTTATTTGGTTAAATAATTACAGAGGCTTGTCCCAACCTACAAGACTTTATTCCTGGACTCATGCATTCTTGAAGATGAAATCATCAACTGTCAGTTTAAGGTATATACCCTAACCTTGATATTGCCTTCTAGCTGGTGCCAAAACTAAGCCTGATAATCCACTATCCTATAAAGCCAGTTGCCTTTGTATAATTAAAGATGTGGTAAGACCAGTGAATTCCAAGACATAGCCCATTGTCATAAATCCATTGCCATAAAGTTTTCCACCCTTTTCAATGAATAGTGCTGAGAAAATTGGATTGCCATAAGCAGAAGAATGAAACTGGACACTTATCTCTCACCATATACAAAAATCAACTCAAGATGGATTAAAGTCTTAACTATAAGACCTGAAATTATAAAAATACTAGAAGAAAACCTACAGAAAATTCTTCTGGACATTTGTCTAATCAAAGAATTTATGACTAAGACTTCAAAAGCACAACTAAAACGAAAATAGACAAATGGGACTTAATTAAACTAAAAAGCTTCTTCTGCACAGCAAAAGAAATAATCAGCAGCATTAATAGACAACCTGTAAAATAGGAGAAAATATTTGCAAATGATGCATCTCACAGGGAACTAATACTCAGAATATATAAGGCACTCAAACAACTCAACAAAAAAATAATTATCACATTAAAAAGTAAGCAAAGAATGTGAACAGACATTTTTCAAAAGAAGACATGCAAATGAACAAGTATATGAAAAAATGCTCCATATCACTAATCATCAGAGAAATGCAGATTAAAACCACAATGAGATATCATCTTAACCCAGTCAGAATGGCTATCATTAAAAAGACAAAAAAAATGCAAAGTGGTACAACCTCTATGGAAAACAGTATGAATATTTCTCAAAGAACTAAAATAGAATTACCATTCCATCCAGCAATCTACCCAATCTCCTGGGTAACTACCCAAAGGGAAAGAAATCGATATATCAAAAAATAACTGCACTCATATGTTTATTGCAGCACTATTCACAATAGATATGGAATCAACCTAAGTTGATTGAATTACCGAATAAAGAAAATGTGTTATAAATACATAATGGAATACTATTCAGCCATAAAAAATGAAATCATGCCTTTTGCAGCAATATGGATGGAACTGGAAGGTCATTATCTTAAGTGAAACAGGCCAGAAACAGAAAGACAAAAATAGCATGTTCTCACATCTGGATGCAGACAGTGGAATAATAAACAACGGAGACTTGGAAGGTGAGTGGGTGGCAGGAGTATGGATGATGAGTAATTACTTAATAGATACAATGTACGTTATTTGGGTGATGGAAGCCCTAAAAGCCCTGATTGACTACTACACAATCTGTACATGTAACAAAGCTGCACTTATACTCCACAAATTTATGCGAATTTTAAAAATGTGTCTTTCAGACTGCAGGATGTTTTGGGGATATCATAGGAATACATGTGTCATTTTAAAACTCTAAGACAGTGGTATTTGTAGAAGTACAATAGACAAATCCATACCCACAAAACTTAATTTAGCCTCATGAAAATGAGTCGATGCCTCCTCACTGATGGAAGAGGCCCAATGTAATCAATCTGTCACTAAAGCGGCTGGCTGGTCCTTTGGAAAATGGTGCTATGTTGGGGATTTGGAATTGGCCTCTTTGGTCAGCAAGTTGAATATTCAATGATGCCAGTAGCCAGATAGTTTTGGTGAAGGGAAGTCAATTTTGTTGAGCACATTCATAGATTCTATCCCTGCTTCCATAGCCACTTTGTTCATGGGCTCATTAAACAAGTCCTGAGATAGCTATGAAATAGGCAATATCCACAGGATAGGTTTGTTTTGTGTCTCTTCCAAAAGGTCTATCCACCTACCTCCCCACAGACCTCCCTGTCACCAATCATCCCATTTTTCCAAGTTTATGATGTACTGAAAGCCTCCTCCTTTGATACACTCCCCCAACATTTATTTCAACCTTTATTACTTTTTTGGGGGTGGTGCTGGGGGTGAAGTAGGAAGTGGGGAGGTGTATTAGTCAGGGTTTTCCAGAAGAACAGAACCAATAGCATGTATGTGTGTGTGTGTGTGTGTGTGTGTGTGTGTGTGTGTATGCCTTATTTTATTTTATTTTAATTTTTTTTAAGGAATTGGCTCGTGTCATCATGGAGGCTAGGAAATCCAAAATCTGCAGTATGGGCCAGTAGGCTGGAGACCCAGGAGAGCTGACAGTGCAGTTTCAGTCTGAATGTCCACAAGCAGAGAACCAGGAAAGCCAATGTTCTAGTTCTAGTCTAGAGGCTGATAGGCTGGAGACCCAGGAGAGCTGATGGTGCAGATGAAATCTGAAGGCAGTTTGCTAGAGAATTCTTTCTTGCTTGAAGAAGCCACTCTTTTTGTCCTACACAGGCCTTCAACTGATTAGATAAGGCCCATCTCCATTCTGAAGGAAAATGTTTTACCCAAAGCTCACTGATTTAAATGTTACTTTCACCCAAAATACCCTCCAAGTTGACACAGAAATTAACCACTGCACGAGGTTACTGTCCCTATAATACTCAATTTAGTTTCTTTTCATAGTGGCATCTCCTCAGTGTGGAGCTTGGATCAGTATGGAAGTTTTGGTTTTTTGGTATAGGTAGTTAACAGGAGATATGCTGTCTTAGCATGCTAGACATTATAATTATTCCCTGACATTCACTTGCAAACTAGATCCTACAGAATCCCCTCCTAGTTTCAGCTGTCATTCTTAGACTGTCTTGCTGTGTTTTCCAGTCAACGTCTGTTCAGAGACTTTATATTTTTCTGTTCTCAGGACATCGAACACCAATTTTCCCTCTCCGGATACCAGGCAGGTCTTATAGCTGTTGGTATTTGTCCTCACCTGCTCATATTTTGGGTTTGTCACCTAGTTCTACTGTAGACACTATCCTTTCCTTGAGTTTTTGGTTATGCTCTCCTATTGGTTTTATTTTGATGGGAGATTTGTAGAGGCAGAAAATCTGCCATTGCTGCAGCCCCTTCCCAATAGTACCAGCTGTTTTGTTTTGTTTTGGAGACAGGGTC